AACAGAACCCCTACTTCACTCCATCCACGAATGGCAAACGAAAATTTGAAAATCATTAGGAAAACATCATAAATAACAAATCAGCTTATTAAGAGCTCCTGCTGCTGCTTTTGATTCTGGCTCTCGTTTTCCATTTTCCGCTCGGCTTTGAATTAATCCACGGCAACCGGCGAGACTTGGAAGCATTAGCAAGGCAAACAAAAGCTTCCTGTGCGACATCCCTCCTCGTCCCTTTAAAAAGGACAAACAGTTCAATTGGCAAAAGCGCTCTTTGCTAATTTATGGCGTTTTAATTCATATGCAAAATGACAGCGTGTGTGTGTTTGCTTATTTTTTTCCCGAACTTTCTTTTAATGTTGGATAAATAATCAAACGTGTATTAAGACATGGAGACATGAAAGGCAGGAGATAGATCCAAGGAAGATGAGAAAACTGGGGGGGATTTCCTTTGGATTGGGCTTACGTTTGGCTTGGGGTTGCGACAGTCAAGTGCACATATGAACTTAATTTTGGCCAGAAATCTAATAAAACTCCGCAGCAGGATGTCCTCGCAAGGAAATTATTTTTTATTCATGCATTAAATTGTTTTGACTCTCGCCCGATAGAGATCAGCATGTCGTTTCGGGATTTTCTTTATGTTTATTATTCTTTCCACCCCTCCCACACTTTTCTGTCATTTTTTTCTTTTTTTCCTTGGTGCTGCCACATGCTAATCAAATTACAAGATATGTGTGTTCCGAATTTCCTTGGTTACCCTCGGCAGCTGAATCATTTCCCAGACGGAATCACCTGGATGGAATCGGGGGGAGGCGACAGCATCGCCTGCAGCAGAAATATCAAAAATAATTTGTTTGACAATAAAAGACGATAAACATTAAAATTATGTGCAAGAGATTTTCTTTTTCTCGGCCCTTTTTTTCGTCCATGCTAAATAAAAGATAAAAAAATTATGACAATAAAGAGAAAACGACAAATGCGTAATAGTGACTGTGAAATACTCTTAAAAATAATTCAAAGTAATTCAAGCCTGCTTAGAACGCTTACACAATTTGAAAAAATAATAATAATGATTTATTACAATTTAATGCACATGAAAAAATGGTCAAAATATTTAAATACTTTTATTTCGACATCTAGATTAAAAAATATTTTATTAACAAACTGTAAGGTATAGTAAAAGTAAAAATGAAATTGTCATCATTAAGAAAGCTTAGTTACCTTTATTTAAAAGGGTTGTACTTAAAGCCAATTTTTTATTTTAAATAATAATATCTCATTTTATATAATTCGCTTATTGTAACCTGTCCTTTTTCTGAGCTAGAGTATCGAGTTCTGTGCTCCTATCATGAAAAGCTTTTTCCCAGCACCATCGCCAGCTTTCCTCCCCAGTTATCCCCATACTGTTGATTCTGGCCTGCGGGGGTTACTTTTTAAAGAGGGGAAATTATATCTCTAATGATTAGTCCGCTAAACTCACTCGTAAATTTGTCAAATCGCTCAAGTTATGCGAATCGCATTTTTTTCTTTTTATCTGCCGCATTTGCATAGCTCTGTATCCTGCTTTTCCATTTTCCTTACTTTTCCCAGGAGACCGCTCCCTTGACCAGTTTTTATTTGATTATTAAATTAGATTTTTTGTTGGCTGGCTGTTTTTTTTTCAAGCTTCTTTTTTTGCGCACTTTGGCCTCATTAAATATTTCTACGCCATTTTTCCTTGTTATTTTTGCACTTTTGCAATGGAGAAAACATCAAAAAGCGCGTGAAAAGTTTGGTCAACAGCGGAAAATATATTGCTAGAAAATTGCTTGCCAACTTTTTTTTTGTTCGTTTTTGCTTTGACAATTTCTTGCCATATTTTTTTGTGATTTATTTTTAGCTTTATATGTGTGTGCTACTGTTGCTAACGAAGTCTCATTGTTTTTGCTTTCCGCTGGTCTCCCCCTCTCGCTCCTGTCGCCATTTGCCCTCTCTGTCTGCTGTTTGTTACAACTTTTCAATTGTTTGGCTTCTGTCATTACCTTTGACATGGCAATGGCAACTTGTGGTTGTTGTTTTTGCCTTTTGACTGTCGCCGCCTTTTGTCTTTCGCGCCTTTTGTCCGCGCTCTCCCCATTTTCCGCCCACTTCCTCCCACTTTGCATTCGCACTTTGATCTGCTGCACTTTCTGTATTAATTGTAATGATGAAGTGCAACCAATGTCGGTCCTTGAAATCGGAAGAGACTGGGTGGTAAAATCCAGACTTCGGTGGTGTTAACTTGCTCTTTATTAAATTTGAACATTTGTTTTAAATCTGTAGATATTTGTTAATGAAGTAGGTGTTGTTTGACTTTGAATAATAATTTCAATGGTTCTAGTGACAAAAAAATATTTAAAAAAAAATCTGAAACTTTTAGGTATTTTAAAAAAATTTATTAAAAACTGTGAAATGAGTTATCATCGATCATATTTACAAATATATTGGAATGTACCTATTTACCAAAAGTAAATAAAAAGGCAAACAAATTGAATTGAAATCGTTTTTATTGTCTTTAATCTTCAAATATTTTTGTATTAACTGGTTTTAACTAAAATAATAATAAATGTACCCTTACCCTTTGCATCTTAATCTCACTAACAAACAATTGACACACATGCTGAGTTCCCCACATAAAGAGTGCAAGCTGCAACAACCAGTTGGAGAGTCTCACTTTCAATTTGGTTTTGCTGAGTGCACTTCGGAATGCCTCTTCACCTTGACCCAGATTTGCTCATCCGACCCTTTTGCAATAACATAAACAAAAGATGTAAACAAATTTTCTCCGATTCTAGGTCCCCCTGCAATTAACATTCGTGTTTTTCTCGTTCACCATATGCAATTCCAAGCGAAACGTGCTCTAAGATGCAACATATGCAGTTTTTGCTCAAAGGGCGACCTTGAGAGTGGGGGATTAAAGACTTTGCGCTTAACGCTACCCAGCTAGAGTTGCTACTCCCATTTCCACTTAATAAAGCACACTAATGATGACCACAAAACCAAACCAAAGAACAACCGAAATGAATCTGCACTTGAGCACGTTCCTAAATAAAAACCAACAGAGCTCGCTGGAAAATAAATCTAAACCAGCGGTAGCCCCCTTATATTAGGGCAAAGCCAACTCTAATTTATTTTTAATAATCTTGTTTCATAAATTTTTTCAAGTTCCCTTTGAGTTTTGCAAACATTCCTTACCCTCGGGACAGAAGTAGAAGTAAGGAAAAGCAATTGATTTGCTTAGTAAGTTTGTGTACTTTCAATTAGGTTAAAAATGGCTCGAAAGGCACTCAAATATCCTGATACCCAAGTATATGCTTGTTGTTATGAGTGTTTGCAGAAGGAGGATTTGCGGAGAGAGGGTTTTCCTAAAAATGTGATAGGCTATTTGGAAGCAACGATTTTTTTCACGAAAATAATTCAAGGAGACATAATATTAAAAGTATGAAGGAACGTATTAAAAACTTTAAATTTGTATATTTTTTTGAGTTGCTCACTTGACTGCAATGCCTATAAAAATAACTTTTACTTTATCTAAATTTCATATCACTTTCACATACCCTCTAAAATATCTGCATTAATCTGCTGCTTATTTAGAAAAAAATCTGAACTGTTTGTTTACGGGTCACTTTACCATTCCATCTCCAGCACTTTTTAAGACCCAGCTGGACGCACGCAAAAACACACATGCACTTGAGGCTTTCACCGCTTTCACTGCTTTTCCCCGGAGAAAGGGTTGCAGAAGGATGAAGGATACGATAGCATGTGTGGACGCTAAAGCAAACAAAAGTGCAAATTCCCGGGGGGACATTTGATTGAATTCAGACAGTTAACCGTCCTCATAATGCGCATTTCTGAAACCGAAAAAAAAAATTGGAAATCCTTTGGCTTCTGCTTATCTGCCTGGAAGGAAAATATCAAAAAATTTTAAAATCGTCTTCAGGGGCCGGGGAACAGTTTATTTGGCAAATGGTATTTGTTCTTTGCCAGTTCTTGTCCTGATTGATATTATTATGGATCCGTCGGTCTATTGATTGATGGCTTCGGTGGACGATGTCTAAAACGAATCTTCTATTTGGATTTTAGAAAATTAAAAAAGCAGCTTAGCATCAGCATTCTTTCCCCAGTATTATTTGCCTTATACAAAGCGTATTAAAAAATCGAAAGTTGAAAGATTTCTGTCGTCTGTTTTTATTTTCCAAGCCCAGCCCAAAGGCAGATTTTTAACTTGGTTGGGTGGCGCCACGCGACATTTTTCCGCATCGATTGTATGAATCCGGAAAATCGGGATGAGGGAATATGAGGAATTTTTCAGTGTCCTTTGTGTAAAAAACAGCTTTGATCTCTGCCGCCGCTAACCATTTTATAATGTTTCGATGAGGGGTAAAATGAAGTACTTTTTTGAGGTGGCAAAATGATATCCACAGTAGTTATAAGTGAATTGAGCGATATAAGCTAATTAACATGTGATCTTTTATTCTTATTTGATTCTTATTTTGGCGGTGAAATATGTTAAAAAAATTTGTGGTGTCCAGTCCACATAACTAATAAAATTATGGTTAAATGAAAATTAGTTATATCAAAACATCTACATAATAGAAATAGGCTGTAAGCATTGGGCCTCTAAAATTTATTTGATGCAATTCGTCCAATATTACAATTATAGTCTACAAAATATTAAATATTATTTGAAATTATTTTAAGTATAAACATAAAAAACTGAAAAATTACAGGATATTTTCAACTTTGAGGTTCTTTTTCTCAGAATCCTTGCGTCAGAAAAATGTCGTAACACAGTATAATTAAGCTGTTTGCGACTTCAGGTAACAGAATCAAACTTTTTTTTTGAGCACTGCCAATCTTTTCTGGCATTAATAAAATCAGAAAATTTTAAGTTCTGAAGACTTGTTTTCTACTCCCATTAAAATAAAAAGTGTTTATTTTAAGTTGGTAATATTTTTATTTCATTTTATATCCATACGCTTTATTTTACTTAACTTACATTTAAATTACTTAAAGGAATGTGTAGTTTGGGTTATTTATGTAAATATTTCTACTTTTGAACTTGTACTATGTTTATGCTCGTGACGCGAAAATGCGCCTCTTCTCCGGTTTATTCCGCATAGAGTCCTAGCCACATATTGCTTATAAGTATAGATCTAAAAACTAAATTGACACACACACAGCTTAAACATCGACGGCAAAGTAAATATAAAAATATATATGATTTTTGTTTAAAAAATATATTTTCATAACTATTTGCTAAGTTTAAGAAGCATTCTACCTAGGAAGTTGAAACTTTAAAATTTCCCCATAAATAGACACCAAGAGAGTTGTTTGTAAAAAAGTTGTAACTATTTATAGATATAGAATATAGAATAGTTTGGCTTATCAACTAAGTTGGTTTCGATTTGAAAACTAGCTGCTGCTTATAAAATTTTGTCTCCAATATTTTTTCGGATTCTTCATTCCATCTTACTTTGCACTGGGCCGACCTCCATAGAGAACCTAACTTATTGAGTTAAATCAGTAAAACTAATTTAAATAAGTTTACTAAACAAATATCTGGACTGGAAATATTTTTAGCAAAATTATTTATCACATTTGCGCTTATCCAAAGTTTTAGATTTTGTTTGTAACCCGACGGCAATTAAGAAACTATGGGCAGGAATAATTTCCAGCAAAGAAAATACTTGTATAAAAAATTATTCTTTTTTTCTGGGGTTTTCCTTGGGAAATTGATTCACATTTCTCTGTCACTGTCTCGCTCTTTCTCTCTCGAAAAGTTTTCGGGCTGCGCTAGTTCTCACCAACGTAAAGTAATCACAAGTTGCGCTTTTAGGAGCTTGGTGTTGGTGTTTAATTTGTTTTTTCCAAAATCTTTACTGCGCCTGCGGTTGAATTTGAACGGTGGCCTTTAGTTTGCTGGATTTTCCTGTTGCCTTGTGTTGTAGGTAAAATTGCTTCAGGACCTTGCACATTGTGATGGCCAGGATTTTCCAGGCCAACAGTTGCTCCTCGGCGCTCGGAGGCGAAGCTGGCTCACTTGTTGCTCCTGGTTGGGGAACGTCCTCCGCTGCGGACGGAGGTCCTTCGAAGTCCACTTGATCATGTCCAGGATCTATGGAGAAAGCCATAGGACTATCCACTTGATCGCCACTCGGTTCGGACTTTGAGACGTGCTCTTCCTCGAAAAATGGAATGGCCATTTTGGGTCTCTCAAAATTTTACGTAAAAATGGGACTGTAAAAATGTCCTGATTTTTTCCAGGGGTTTTCCTGCTTTCCCAGATGTGAACTCTTGGCGAGTTGTCGTACGACTGAGGAGCTCAGCTCGCAGGACACCCGTATTTATACCCGGGAAACGGCGGGAGAATTAGCCGCCCTCATCCCTTCTGTCTCTCTCAACCGCGCGCTCTCTCTCTCTATTGCCCATCTTCTCTCCCTTTCTCTCTCTCTGCCCATATCTGTGCCGTTATGTCGAGCTACTTCATCACGTGCAGTAAACGTTTCCTCAAAGGAAATCGAGAGAGTCACACTTGTGGCATGTTACGTATACGTTGTATCCATTACGTTACTTACACCCAATATACGTTTCGCGTTCGAGTTTTGAGGGGTGCTTCGAAATAATATAGCCTTCCTTACGTTTTTCGAATTAGGAAAGAGAAGTTTTCGAAAAAAACCCCTTACAGTTTGGAAATAAATTTTCCGTAATATCCATTTTCGGTTTCGAATTTTAAGGGGAAATGGTTTATTTTTACGGTTTATTAAACAATCTTTTAGGTTTAATAAGCCTAACTAAATGTAACTGATGTGTAACTACGGTTTTATTTTAAGAATAATATATTTTTTTTTTAATTCTAAGCCTTCAAGTGTCATCTGTATAGTTTTCTAAATTTTTCGAACAATGAAGGGGAAGATTTCGAACTTTTTCCATAGCTTACCCGAAAATTTGCCTTTGCTGTGGCTTAGTTTGCTTTCCGTCTTAGCTTTTCCTTAGTTTTTGGCTTTGTTTTGGCCTTGACCAATTTTGTCTGGGCTTTTTATACCCGTTACTCGTAGAGTAAAAGGGTATATTGTATTCGTGCAAAAGTATGTAACAGGGAGAAGGAAGCGTTTCCGACCCCATAAAGTATATATATTCTTGATCAGGATCACTAGCCGAGTCGATCTAGCCATGTCCGTCTGTCCGTCTGTCCGTCTGTCTGTCCGTCTGTCCGTCTGTCCGTCTGTCCGTCTGTCCGTCTGTCCGTCTGTCCGTCTGTCTGTCTGTATGAACGCTGAGATCTCGGAAACTATAAAAGCTAGAAGATTGGCATTTTGCATGCAGATTTTAGGAGTTCCTACGCAGCGCAAGTTTGTTTCAAAATGGTGCCACGCCCCCTCTAACGCCCACAATCGCTTATATACGATTTAAAAAATTTTAATATTTTGGAAAAGTAAAAATGCAGTTTTATTGTGTTTATCAATACCTATCGAAATTAGAAGAAATTTTTCAAATCGGACCATTCGTTAAAAAGTTATGCGTGATCAACGTTTTCTATCTCTATCTCCATCTCCCTCGCACTCCCTTTACCTGAGTAACGGGTATCTGATAGTCGGGGCACTCGACTATAACGTTCTCTCTTGTTATATATAATTTTTAACATGCGTTTGAGACTGTCTCTTTTCGAGAGTGCTGATTTTACTGTTAATAAATGTTTCTGTTACTAATTTAACGTAACATAAAACGTAATTCTGTTTAGTTATTTGAATTTATTGTATTTTTTTTTTTACAACATTTGTACAACTGGGTCCTCAAAACGAAATTAAACCTAAAAAGAAAAGAAAATATGAAATTGCAATGGGACAAAATTTATTTTATTATCCGTAAATTATTTTGAGATTCTAAAAAATAACTCAAAATGTATTCTTATCAGTCTTTTCATCTGATAAAAATTCCTAAATCCGCTCCCCAATTTTCTATTATTTAAAACAACCAATTTCCCGTCTTACATCTGCGTACGACCCTAAGAACAATCGGTTAACATTTTGCGAACCACATGCCAGGAATATTTTATGGTAAAAAGGAGTGTCTGGTGGGGTCCGTTGCTCTATCCCCCGTTTTACACTCTGCCAAATCAATTCCACAAATCAACATAATCAACTTCTCGCCGTAAGTCCAAAATATAATGCACTCGCCGTCAAGAAACTTCTTTTGTTACCCGCCGAATAAAATGGGTTTGAAGCAGCCGAGAGTAAGAAAGAAAGCAGAAATAAGTGCCGTAAAAAAATGTAAAAACTTTTTTATAGTTGCCGCATAAAAAATGTAAAATAAAATCCAACCGAAGAACTTTAAGGGAAACAAGAGAGAACGCTATAGTCGGGTTGTTGTCCCGACTATCTAATACCCGTCACTCAGCTAAAGGAAGTGCGAACGCTGTGTCGGGTTGGTGTCCCGACTAATAATCGTAACTCAGCTAAAGGGAGTGCGAGGGAGATAGATATATAATTTTTGATTGCGTATAACTTTTTAATGAATGGTCCGATTTGAAAAATGTCTTTTACATTTCGATAGGTATAAATATACACAACAATACACAGACGGACAGACGGACATGGCTAGATCGACTCGGCTAGTGACCCTGATCAAGAATATATATACTTTATGGGGTCGGAAACGCTTCCTTCTAGCTGTTACATACTTTTGCACGAATCTAGTATACCCTTTTACTCTACGAGTAACGGGTATAAATATGCGAAAGAGTGCACAACAAAAGGAAATTACCTTTGGGGTGTTCAGGTGAATGGGCGGGGTCCGATAATGACATCCAAGAGATGATAACCCCAAGAAATCAGAGGAAAAATCCATGATCTAATTTGCTAAACACTCGAGCGAAATCCGTGGGGCTGGGCATATCACTTACATATACCTGTAAAACTCGCAGAAAGGAATTCACGAAAGCAAAACAAAGAAAAGAATTGTTTTCGCTTAAAAGAACATTCAAATGGAAATGTTCTGCATGGCTCAACACAAACAACAAGTGCAGGCGCACACACAAACTGCGTTTATTTAGTTGGCAAACAAAAAAGGGAAAAAGGAGCAAAAATGGGATCCAAAGGAAGAAACGCATCGCATCGAGGGAGTAGCATTTGAGTACCTCCAGACAGACAGACAATGCATATTCCTATAGGTACGCCGTATTCGTATAAAAGTGAAGTGCGCCGGGGCATGTGCAGCACACGAACAAAAAACAAGACGGCAGGAAAAAAGTGCAAGGGAGCAGCACCCAGAAAAGTGAGTTTCAAGGACAGACTGATAAAAGGATACCCTTCTTCTTGCAACGAGGGCTGTCTTTTTATCCTCAGTCAAGAAGGTTTGATTCTGCACAGATCGTTTAAAGATAAACCAAGATCCCAATTATTCAGGGTGAATTGTAAAGGACAATACCGATTAGTACAGTTTAATAACGTGTACATGTCAAAAGAAAATATTCAACACTTTAGAATAATCTTACAGACCGATCAACATAGGATAGGCATAAAAATAATGTTGTTTATTGATCCGATATTGTTTACTATACCTGTATACAGTGGTGGTCACGAGTTTAGCACACTTTGCTCGCCCATCGTATTTTCGCCATATCTCCTTTCTCGTTAGAGATTTCGACTTTCTGTTTTCACCCACCTTCGTGCTGGAAATAGAGCAACTTCCACTGTTAATATTGTCCCATTCGCTTGTACCGTTCTTCTTTGGCGATATTTTAAGTTGTGCAACCTCCAAAATGAGCTGGACACGAGTTTAGCACACTTTAGCACATTTATACCTTTTCACCCTTCTGATCATTTTTTTCGACTTTTTACTCCTTATTGTTATTAGTGAACCTTAGTAAGGTACAAAAATAAAGAAACGAAAAATCTAGATAAATCACAGGGACTCTGGTACATAAATAACTAAAATTATCTAAATATCCCATTTTTAGGCAGGATAAGTGTCCTAGTTGATCCTTGTTGGTCCTAATCAATTATATTTACTTGTTTTACTTAAAATTAAACAATTATAAGATAATGCGGTTGAAAACATAGAGCTGGGACCTGATACAGTGACTCCACATTGCATGGCATTTCAGCAGATCCTGATTTTCGAGTCCTTTCAAATTTTCTAAAAATCTCCGGACCACATATTTTTGTAGCCAATTAAAAGGCAAAAAAAATGAGGTATATTTCATTAGAATCGGCTAACAACTTCGTAGGCAAAGGCATAGCAACACTTTGATATTAAGATTCAAGTTTCGATTCTATGAAATTTTGTATGCAAATCGTGCTTTAAGTTAAAGCTGTAATGTTTTTATTTAGAACTTTATGCGTGTCGCAGGAAGTTGTTAACCGATCTTAATGATATATACCTCATTTTGTTTGTCTTTTAATTGGCTACAAAAATATGTGGTCCGGAGATTTTTAGAAAATTTGAAAGGACTCGAAAATCAGGATCTGCTGAAATGCCATGCAATGTGGAGTCACTGTATCAGGTCCCAGCTCTATGTTTTCAACCGCATTATCTTATAATTGTTTAATTTTAAGTAAAACAAGTAAATATAATTGATTAGGACCAACAAGGATCAACTAGGACACTTATCCTGCCTAAAAATGGGATATTTAGATAATTTTAGTTATTTATGTACCAGAGTCCCTGTGATTTATCTAGATTTTTCGTTTCTTTATTTTTGTACCTTACTAAGGTTCACTAATAACAATAAGGAGTAAAAAGTCGAAAAAAAATGATCAGAAGGGTGAAAAGGTATAAATGTGCTAAAGTGTGCTAAACTCGTGTCCAGCTCATTTTGGAGGTTGCACAACTTAAAATATCGCCAAAGAAGAACGGTACAAGCGAATGGGACAATATTAACAGTGGAAATTGCTCTATTTCCAGCACGAAGGTGGGTGAAAACAGAAAGTCGAAATCTCTAACGAGAAAGGAGATATGGCGAAAATACGATGGGCGAGCAATGTGTGCTAAACTCGTGACCACCACTGTATCTCTTTTCCCAGATATTTTTTATAAGAACATGAATAAATTCGGTCGCAATTTCTTTACAAATAGACTTTAAAATAATACAAAAAAAATATAACAAATTATCTAGTTATAAGTAATTATAAAATATATATTTAATGAGTTCCGACTAATTAAATGTCAGGTTTTTCTGATTTATAAATCAAATTTAAACACGTACTGGCTACATTTTTCCGAAAAGAGACGCAATAGTATAAAGTTTTATCTCTTCCATTTTCCGATTAATTTCCCTACTTCCCTAGATTGCATCCCTGTTTTT